CGCCGCCCCCCCCCCGCCACCCCCCCAGCTGCTCTGCCCCCAGCTTCCTCGATTCAGCTGCTGGTCAGTTTCAGCAACGGCTGAATCGGGGAAGCTAGGCGCAGAGCAGCTCCAATTGTCCGGCTGCCCCGAGCACTTCTGGGTTCCTGATGGTGCTGGACCATCAGGAGTGCCGGAGCATTGGATGCCGGAGTTTTACTGTACTGTTGAAGATCATGCTGTTGGAAGATATGAGGTTCATACTCATCTAGCAAGTAGTCATTTTATTAAAAAAAAAACAACAAAACCAAATAACGTATCACATATTGTATCAGCAACAGTACATTTATTCTAACTTGATTTAATAGCATTGTTAAAGAAAATTATGTAGAGACATCCATTTTGAAATGTTAATTTACCACGAAGTTCTTATAAGACTGTAATTCCTGTGAAATAGCAGGACATTGGTGGTTCATTACAGTGTCAGCAGCTCTGGCCAGACTTGTATTTACTACACCTCACACTTTGATGTAGTGATATTTATTTAAGATGCCATGTAATGTCATTTGAAATCTAGTAACACAGAGATCATTAATATCACTTTGAAATGTTCATACTAGTGTGTAAGTAAAATAGTGGATACTCTCAAATAATTGCATCTTGGAGACTGTGATCAGACAATGGAGAGAAAATAGACCTTTTTTTCCCCTATATGGGTGGGACTAGAAAAGGTGGCAGGTTCCCTGTCCAGGAAAGAAGGTTCTGATCTGCTTCCTCTGGGTCTAACCCTCCTGTAGCTTTGTAAGGGGGGAAGGTGTGACCCTATGAGAACCCCAGAACCAGATGGCAAAATATTCCTTGTTATGTAGCAGTGAGTTTCAATTGACCTGACTGTATCCAAGCCCAGTTATTATCTGTATCTAAACTGGATCTTTCAAAAAGATCATACACAAACTGGTGACAAAGATGACTGTGATAACTATATGAGGAATTATGGATACTCAGCTAATATTATGCTTGAAAATCTGTGCCCAGAAAAAGGGAGAGAACTCTTTTTTTCCACAGACAGGAGACAAGGCAGCTATCTTCCTTTTTATTTAAATAAAGAATGGTGGAATCAAAACAATGGACACCTTGTTTACATAGAAATCAGCAGGGGGATAGGAAGAACAAGATGAGGTCTTCATACTTCTTGAAACATGATCAGTGAATTTTGAAAGTGATCAGCAAAGACAAAGCCATCTTGGCATCTTTCACCTAGGAAGACAAGGGAAACCAGGACTTTGTATTTCTGTGGAAGCTCCTGACTGAAAGAAAGCCTTGGCTGGAAGGCAGAAAGATTGGTAAGAACGTAGCTTGTTGAGTTAGATTTTAGCCACTGGAAAGTCTGTTTTATTTGCTTGTAACCATATTTGACTTGTATTTGAACTCATATAAAACCAGTTTTCGAGTAATAAACTTTGAATTTAAACCATTCCAGTGCTGTGTTTGAAGTGATTGTTAATGTCAGTTAAAATAACAAACTGTGCATCTGTCTCTCTGAGGCAACAAATCTTTACTTCTCAGTATTCTATTCTGGGGTTGCCATTGAAGTAGTAACCAATGCTGCTGGAGACCAAGGTAGGGCTATTGTGTGGAAGGCGGGCTGCTGGAGTCAGTTTGCTTATTTAGGACTGCACCAGCATGCACACCTCAAGGAACTGCTTGTTTTCTGCTGACTGTTGGTATCTGGGTAGTGAAGTACAGCAACTGAGCATGTAAGGCATCCAGGGTTACAGGCCAGGTACAGGGCAGTCTCCCCTGATCATTAGGGATTCAATCCAGGTCATACTTTCTTCTTCTTCTTCTTCTTCTAAGGAAATTTCCTGGTTGGATGGATAAAACTGCAACTTTAAAATGGTGTTATAGGTTGAATAGCAGCTGTGAATTTTGTATTTTGTTTAACCCTTTCCTGCCTGTCTCTACCAATAGAATTGTAGCAATAATCTCTATTTTGTTACCCCATTATAGGAAAACTTATTTCAAAATATAAATGTGTAAAATTCACACCTTTTTATAAAACCTAAAAGCTTATAGAGGTGTTCCCAAGGAATTAAAAATTCTAAGGGAAAAGTTGTCTTTGAACAAACATCATCTGCAGTGTTTGCTACCCAAATATTGAAGCACAGAATTTTGAAAGTGAAATTGATTATAAAATCCATTGCCCAAGCTGAGAGACGTGCAAAATGTATAAAGCAAGTATATAAACGGGAAGTAAATTGGACTTCTAAAACTCTTATTAACATCACCTTAAATTATGAAAGCAAACATATTGTTTTCAGCTTAGATATTAATTTTAGTGATTCCCTTTTTAATCCTATTATCAGCATTGCATTAGAACCATGTCTTGAGTTTCCTTATTTCTGTTAACTGTTGATTTAGCCGTGATTTTTACCAAGTTCCTTTCTTCCAGTAGATCATTTAGCCTTCAGCAACTCTTTATTTTTAATGTAGTGCTCATGTTCTCAGACGTTGGAGGAATCCTACATTTCTCTTTCAGGTCTGGAAGAGGACGAAAGTTAAGTGGAGACCAAATAACTTTGCCAACTACAGTGGATTATTCATCTGTTCCTAAACAGGTAATGTCTTTAAAGGGTTGGGTGATATGGAGTAAACAGCAAATCCACCAATCCTGTTGAATCAATAAAATGTTATAGCCCTCCACTTAAAAGTCAAATGCTAAAATGAACTTGTTCAATTCTGTTTAGTCTGAAGTAGAAGATTGGACATCATGGGATGAAGATGCACCAACCTGTGTGAAGATTGAAGGTGGTAATGGGAACGTGGCCACACAACAGAATGCTTCAGAACAACTGGAGCCTGATTATTTTAAGGACATGACGCCAACTATAAGAAAAACACAGAAAGTAGGTTTCTGGCTTTCAAATACACTTATTAAATCAGTTTATGAAACTTTTGAAATCGTTTATAGGTCAGTTATAAATGTGGGGGCTTTTTGACACAAATTCAGCAGCCCTATTTCTGGTATCTAATTTGGATGCGCTAACTCAGGGATGTGCAAAGGGGCCGCTATGGGCCAGATCCGGCCTGTCTAGCAGGTTGACCTGGCCTGCAGATGCCCTGCCACTCCCCTATCCCCAGGCCAATCAGGACCTGGGGATCCTGGGGATGGGGGAGCGCACAAAGTCTTCTCTCCTGGCCAGGGCCATGCAACACCAGAGGGAACTGTGTACCCCTGGCCGGGGGGAGGACACTTTTCATGATCCCCTGCTTTCAGGCCCAGATTGGTCTGCGGGGGAGGGAAGCATGCAAAGTGTCTTGCTATCTGTCCCACCCTGCCACAGAGAACTGGGCACCCCTGGCGGGGTGGGTAGCGAGAGACTTTGCCTGCGCTCTCCTCCCCCATCCCCCAGGCCCTGATTGGCCTGGAGGCAGGGGGAGTATGTGAAGTCTCCCCTCACCAGGGGCGCACAACACCAGGGGAACTGTGTGCCCCTGGCAGAGTAGGGAGGAGGACCCAGAAACTGTCTACTCCACCACCCCCAGGCCCTTCCCAGTGTCTGGGAGGCACAGGGAGGGAGGCGAGGCACCTCCAAAAACTAAGGAGAATGCTTCCCTTCATCCCCCCCTCCTGATGCTGCTGTGCTCTTCCTTCCTTGCTAGGGGGGCCCTAATGGGCCTGGGGATGGAGGGAGCACAAGAAGTCTCCCCACACCCGCAGGGGCATGCAGCACCTACAGGGAACCGCTAGCTGTTCAAAACAGCTGGCAGTTCCCTGTAGGCTCCTGGTGCCCCTGGCAGGCCGGGGGCAAAGACTTCATACACTCCCCCACCTCTAGGCTAATCAGGGTCTGGGGGTAGGGAACACTCAACGTCTCTTGGTCCTGCCTCTTCTGGGGGGTTGCATGGGGTTACACTGAAACCAAATTGTGAAATTACATTTTTCACTATGGAAATTGAGAGATTTATGTATAAATATTTTAGTTGAGAGACTTGTGTCTGATGAAAACATGGAGTTCCAGACATGCCTGTCTAATACAAAAATTGTATTATCTGTAAAAAATCTTGTCTTGCTATTTTATGTAATTAGCCATGTTCATAATTGCTGTTCTGTTCCAGTGTTTTGGTTTGTTAGCTAATAAGATAAAACTGCATATCAAAAGCAGAAAAACCGCTGATCCTTTCTTACGTTAATATAACATAAATGGGAGGCTTTTTGATAAACTAACATGAGATAGTTAAAATGGTTAATCTGTTTCGTAAATTATATTAAACTGTTCTTGCTAGCTGCAGCTGGTTCAGAAAATAAGGTCACTGAACCCAGCAGGGCCATTCTCAGCCCCACTTCTTCTGCTCAAGGCCCCACCCTTTTTGGTTTGGCTGGCAACCACTTCCAAAATTTGTGAAGTGCCCCTCCCCCTTCCAAAATTATTACCTACCCCTGGATTATTAGAACTCATTTACAAAACTTTTCTTAAATATTACATGAATATATTTTCTTATACTATAAAATTTATAATCCCTATTCCATGATGAAATATATTTGAGCTATGTTTCTTAATTAAAGCTGTCATTAGATGGGTTTTTTCCTCAAAGTATTTTATCAAAAAATCTGATTTTAAGTTAAAAAATCAATTTTTTTTAAAATTGTTGAATTTTTAACCACCCTACCTACTCCTGTGTGTCTGTCTACTGGTAGAAATGGAGCACTCAAATTATCAAGTGGAAAAAATGTAAATTACTTGGTGCCCTTCTTTTAAAGGATTTGGTTTGGCATTTTGCCTAGTAAAACATATAGGTGTATCATGTTACTCTTTCTTCAGCATTGCATCATATTCTTATCAATAATGGTATAAACTGACATCCCCCCCCCTTTCAATGTTATCTTTCAGATTGTTATTAAAAAAAGAGATCCTTTAAATTTTGGGATCCCAGATGGAAATGCAGGATTTTCTAGTAGATTAGCAGCTACACAAGATATTCCTTTTATTCACCAGTCTGTAAGTATGCTATTTGTTTTGATTCTTTTCTTGCTATGTAATAGTTTGCTCCTCAGCAGAGAGGAATGTCTGGTGGGGAGGAAGGGATACTAAGTGGCTATAAATTACCTGAATTCTTGATAAAGAATAAAAGCTATTTGAGTAGACCATGCTGAATTTGAATTGGAGAATTAGTTGAATTAGTACTGTCACTATGTGGTGTTGTTTGCCTAGCTCTTGAAAAGAGGAGATGAGCAGAAAGGAATACAAGTCAGCCATCTGGAAATTAGTATGAGAGACCCTGAATATTACCATATCTCCTAAACCAGAGAGCTTTAAGTTTTATGGAGATAACCTATTAATCCCACAGTGAAAAAGTGGAAGAACAATTTGTATTGCTCTTCATGTGCTTATGTGCTGGCAATCGTTTTTCTTGACAACAAACAAGGTATATGTAGGATAAAAAATGTGGGGTATTCATCATATATAAAATCAAGTGAAACTTGTATAACTCGGAGTATTGGTAGGATGTCACTTTTTTGCCAAGTACTCTGATGATATATTGTACTCTGTAAATGAGTGATACCTTTTAGAATGTCAGAATGGGCTTTTTATAAATATTCAAATTTTATTTCTTGCATCACCTCTGCTTCTAATAACTTGTCACTGAACTGTAAAAGTATGTACAGACAATAGACCTGTGGTAGAGTTTTTGCATTAAAAATACCGAGTTCTAATTTGTCTGCGTGAAAACTGTTGTTCACTTGAAAAGAGAAGTGTTGAAAGCATCGAGGTTTTTATGTCTATTGAGGATCAATAAGAAAATCCTAGAAACTCTCTCATCTTAGGCTATGTCTAGACTAGAGGGTTTTTCCAGGATACCGGAAAAACTCCGCTGTATCCAGGGAATGCGTCTGCTCTTACACTTTTATTTGTTGAAGAGAAAACATGCTCTTTCGGGAGCCCTGTATTCTTCCTTCCACGAGGAAGAAAGGCTCTTCTGAAAGAGGTGTGTTTTTTCTGAAATTAGGCCCAGTGTAGACCGGCCAAATTTTGGAAAAACCTCTTCTGAAAAAACTATTGGAAAAAGGTACGCAAATTACAGAGCACAATTTGCGTACCTTTTTCCGATAAAGACCTGTAGTGTATACGTAGCCTTAGATAGGGAGGGGAAAAAGATGGCATCGTGAAGGTTTGAGGAAAGGACACTAGTGGATCTCAAGACATGTGAGTTCAGTTCCCTGCGCGCCCACAGGCTTCCTATGTAACCTTCAACAGGTCACTTAAGCTGTGTCTATAGTGGCAGCATTTTCTCAGTACAGGAATACTATTATATTCCTGTATGCTCTCCTAGAGTGGACACAGCTGTATCAGCAAAGCTGCACTTTACAGCAGTAGAGTAAAACCACCCCCAATGGATAAAACAAATTGTACTGGTAGAAAGTGCAGCTTTACTGGTATAACTGCATCTACGCTAGGGGCTTCTTCAGGGATCACATCACTTCACATTACTGTAACTGAGGCCAGATGAATACCTAAAATAGATAATACAGTAGATTAGAATGTGGGGAAGCATTGCATGAGTAGCAGCGGGTGGGGACTTTTGTAGAATCTAGAAAATTCAGGAAGGTAGGCAGATGCTAGGGATCTGGTTCTAAATAAAGCAGACTGGCTCCTTTCAGTATTTGTTTTCGCTTCATTCAGATCAATGGGTACTTCTTTCTAAGTTCTTCAGTGTGGCTTGTTGATTTTGTGGTGTTTTTTGCGGGGGATGGAGGAGATGGTTGGGGAAAATCAAAACTACCAGTATTAACATGGAAAAGATCCTCTCCTATCATAAAGCAGCTGTATAAAACCATTAACACTAACTAGTCTTGCTATCTCAATTTCAACATAATTTATATGGAAATGAGATGGGGAGATGGTCTGAGTATGTTTATTATATTCTTGGTCTTTTGTTTGCAGCCTGAATTGGGAGACTTGGATACCTGGCAGGAAAATACTAATGCCTGGGAAGAAGAGGAAGATGCTGCCTGGCAGGCAGAAGAAGTTCTTAGGTAATTTAAACAATTCTGTAGCTAACCCAGGTTGAATACATTTTAGCACAATCGTATTTCAGCCAACTTTACAATCTAACAATCCTACTTAATTTTCAGAATATGCATTATATACGATTTCACTCTCCCCCTCCCCCCCCCAGCCTTCAGTATATACTAAGGATGTCATCACATAGACGACTGCACAATTAACCAGTAAACCTGGGCTTTTCACTTAATCTTGTCAACTACATGCTCCCTGCCCCCCAACCTTGCTGCCTCTGTATCAGAGGCAGCAGCGGGTGAGAGAAGCTGGCTTAAAAGCCCCAAGAGCACTGGATCCGCCCGCTCACCCCCAGTGCTGCAGGGGCAGCAGCGCGGAGGGTGAGGCAGGCAGGCTTTCAAGCCAGCTCCCCACACATACCAGCTCCAGTGAACCTGCGTGCCTCATCTCCCACCCTCCCTCTTGCTGCCTTCTACAGAGGTTGGGGGAGGGAGTAGGCAGGAGCCAGTGCTAGGTGGAACCGGTGTCTCCTCCCCTCGCACCAACTCCCCAGTGCCGCCTCCCTCCCCATTAGAGGCAGCAGCATGGAGGCGGGGGACAGGATAATGGAGGCAGCTGTGAAGGAGCCTCTATCTACATCACATCTGAGCTCTCCACATGCCGAGGCTGCTCAGCATCCCATGGAACATGGGGTGGCAGGTAGCTGGTCTGTGTGGGAAGCCAGTTTTAAACTGGCTCCCCTTGTGGACTGGCCCCCCCAGGCGCGGTGCTGGGATCCAGCTGGCTGCTGGCCTCACCTCTGGGGACTATAAAATGGTCATGTAACTGCTAAGATTTCATATGGCTACATGACTATTCAGTTACTCAGTCTAACCTCCCTAATATGTACAAATGTTATATTATATGCTCTCCTTCCATTACAACCCTATTCACACATGCCAAGAATTTGACATATTAAAAACTTGTTTATATAAGAATAGGATTTAGTGTAATAAGAAGCAGCATTAATTGCTTTACATTTTAGAAATAAGATGAAGTATACTCTGCACAGTTCCACATTACAACTAAAATTATTAGCAGTGTACATAAGTGGAAAAAAATATTCACTAGAAAATACAAATAGTAAAATCACAATTAAAAACCTTGTACCAGAAACATCTTTCAATGTGGTGGTTCTGGAAGCACTTGTGGAATACATACCTTGCAGTAAATTCAAAGCTGAGAAATGATGTTCAGCAGTTTAAGACAGCATGTAAAGAAAGAAAGTTCTTTTTTTTAAGTTGAAAATGCAGCAGAAATATTAAGTAAATTCTTGAATCACACAGACTCAACCATGTTCTTACTTGTTCCGTTAAATTAACAAATAGGACTTTTTGTAAACATCACTAGTTTATTACAGTGTCAGCATGAATATTTATTTAAAAATTCTTTACCGGTATTAAAATGAAGAGGAAAGGGGATACAATGTTACAGCTCTAGAATGTCAAGGGATCTAGTGCAATATTACACAATCTTAGAATATTTTATATCCTTTCCCAGTCTAATGCTGAAGGCTGTCCATATGCTATTATGCTTAAAGACTGTTCTGTTTAGATTCGTATAGTGAGTTCAGCACCACAGTATCTGTTTTTAGAACATTTTTTCATTTGTTTAATGACTGTGAGAATGGGTTAAACACATTTTTGAACAATACCAGTTTCAGAATTTGGAAATTTATATTTTGTCCATACTGAATTAGGATTAAAAAATTTAGCACTCCCTTCATGTGTTAATTTGTGTGCTGAAGTATAATGTAAATACATGTAACATACATCTTGAATACACTTTTAGCACTGCACAATTCATATTCTACTAAGGAATGTAAAGGTTTATATTGGCAGTGTTAATGTGGATCTGTTTTCTGTCTCTTTCTATTAAGCTATGCATTTTAACTGGAAAATAAAAACATTATCTGTATATGCAGCATGGCTGAGTTAACATTGCTTTTGGTAATCTTTAATTGTTCCCGACGTTTTTAATTGGGAAAATTTATCAGTACACTGACGTTATGCTCTCCTTTGCTTTTAAAAAATAAAAGTGGAGAAAGGCAAAAGCTAACTGTCCAAGTTAGGCTGAATGTCACGCATTGTACTTGTGCGGTAAGGGGGGGCAGAGATCTCCGCTCTCCTGCTGCTGCATAGATCTTATGCAGTGATGTTTCTTCCAAATGCATTTTTACACTTACCAGTCCTTTGACCATCCTTAATACACAGGTACAGCTGAAATTATGGAGGGTAAATAGTTATACAAATAAGCTACTTTGAAAAAATCTGTCAGCCTTGGGTTAGAATCAGACCATTCAAAACAAGGGCCTGAAGTTTCTGGTCGGAAGAGTTTGCTTTCTTCAAATTCCTATTTTTTTTTCTGTGCTTTAACAGGAGCTTCATTTGCCTGCCCACTCCCTTAATGCAATTACTGGAAAATTATTTTCCTCTCAACACCTCCTTGAGACACACACAAGACTGGCACATCTGTCTCCCTTCCCACGCCCTCTCCATTATCATTAACCATCTTTACCAACAAGACAAAGAACTAAGGGCTAATCTACCTTTTGAGATTTGTTGTCAGAGTTAAGATGACTCTAAAGTATGCACACAGTAACTCCAAGGTGACACCCCCTGTGTGTGTGTGTTGGGGGGGCCTGGGCCCATCGTGGACAGAGGCCGTGCTGGTATCCCACCTGTCTTCTTCCCCCCCTTCCATTTCCCCAACACACCCGAGCACAAGCCGGCTCCCGGCACCCTCCACACTGCTGCCTCTCTATCAGAGGGAGCCTGCAGCAGCAAGGCTGGGGTGAGTGCGTGTAGCTGTTTGGATTAATCCATAAGACCAGGTGTATTGGTAAATCATTTACCGACTATGCGCTAACATTCCTAGTTAATTTGCTTAATAGTTTTTAGTAATCTTTTTGAACCTCAAACCCATAACTTGTTCTGCCCCTTGATTAGTAGAATTAATGGATTCCTGACTTTTTTTATAACCATATTTTACATATATGCAGATGATTTTCATGCCTCTTTCAGTCTTTCCCCAGCTTAGCTCTTGACCACTTAGCCAGCCCACACAGGACAGAATAGCGCACAGAAACATGTAAGGCAGCTATTCCTATATCTAGACACAAGAAATGCAGCGCATACTTAGTGTGGGGAACTGCCTCATGGAAAGCAGAGGCTCTGAATAGGCTTTAGGGGGTTATAAAGGACAAGCAAGTTAGCATTAGCTCACAGTGTGATGCTGTGTCCAAAAGGATTAGTGTGCTCCTGCGGGGGTATAAATGGGAGTAAGAAGAGGGAGTTGATTTTACCTTCCTATGAGACATTGGTGAGACGAATGCTGCAAACAGATCTGGTGTTCATTTTTAAAAAGGATGTTGAAAAATTGGAGAGGACACAGAACACATTAAAAAATGGTTTCGAGATTGAAGAAAATGCATTACAGTGAGAGACTAAAAGAGCTTGACTTGTTTATCAAAAAGAAGATTGAGAAGTGACTATTGCTATGTACAAGAACAAAAGAACAGCCTTTCTGGGGCAGACCATGGTCCATCTGACCCTCTATCTTTTCTTCTGACTATCCACTGAACAAAACAGGTAGTCCTCAAGATATCAGACAAGATCACAAAGCGAAAACAGTTTCTTGCCACTTTAACCAGAAAGGACACTCTCTAAATGACTTAGCCACCTGCATTCTGCTACAAAGACCTTTTACATCTGCACTTGAAAGGGAATCCTCTGAACTGTCATTTATGTTAGAATTCGATACTTGCCAACAAGGACTTAACAAGACTTTGAACTTTCTCACCCATTACCAAGACAGTTTCCCCAATTATCACCTGTAATACCATTAACTCACAAACATCCCACTCTCCCTACCTTTAATATCAGCAATTCAGACACTTACCTTCCTTCCTCCCCCTTCCCACCCCCCCGCATCCCCCTTCTGTTCTGCAATGTGATTTGTCCTTTTCATATTTGTTCATTTTTTTAATTGTATCCTTTGGTATATATGGTTGTGACTACTTTCTTCCACTATTTGATCTGAGGAAGTGGGTCTGGCCCACGAAAGCTCATCATCTAATAAACCATCTTGTTAGTCTTTAAAGTGCTACATTGTCCTGCATTTTGCTTCAGGTAGTCCTCAAGTAATCCATCCACTGTTGCCCATTCACAGCTTCTCACAGAGGCTAGAGACCCTACAAGAACCTTCCCAGGGAGAAATACCAGGTACTCATGGGCTCTTTAGTCTGCCATAGAAAGGCACAAGAAGAAACTATGGCTAGGGTCTGAAGCCAGACCAAATTACAAATTATGTACAGTTTAACAGCAAGAGTGATTTAACTATTTTAACAGACAAGGGAAAGGGTACATTTGCCGCCATCTGATCTTTTCAGATCAAGACTGATTGCCTTTCTGGAAGTTATGTTTTAGCCAAAGACTCACATTGGGTCCACTATAGGGTAACTGGGTAAAATGGAATGGCCTGTGTTATATAAGAGGTCAGACCAAATGATCTAGTCTTCTCTTAACTTTTTCTCTCGTATTCTGTCTATGCAATTGATATAGCATTGGACTTGTGCAATTGATATAACATTGGACTTGTGTAAAAACGCATTTTTTATGAGCTGGATTTATTTTTCATTCTCTCTTCCAGTTCATCAAAACTCTCATATTTTAATCCCGCCCTTTAGGAAGTTTGCAAGAGAGCTGGCAGATTTATTGCCTACATATTTAAATTGCATAATCCATGCCCACCCTCCTTAACAAAACCATGGAATAATTTTGGATCCTCTTTACCTCCCTATCTGTTATTGCTCATCAAATACAGAAGATGGCGTCAGTCCCTCACTCTGGATTGTGGAATCAGCCACACATCTCCCACTCCTGAGAAAATGTAACCAACAGGAAAAATAAAATGAACAAATGGTATCTTGTTAACTCTAGCAAATTCCATGATAGTTGCTATGAGCACACAAAAAGAGAGCTGACCCTTTGAACAAATCCTTTATTTGGTAAAGATCTGGGCTCAGAGAGCAATAGCAGGAAGAAGGTGTCTCAGGGATACACTGGAATAGGTTGATGTTTCTTTTGCTTTTTAATTTCTGTCCTGGTGGTAACCTGTTGAGAGGCTATTCTGCTTTAAATTAAAGCTGGCTTGAGCAGTGATATTCTAATCCAACGTTTGAGGGTTCTCTGATCTGATGTGTGTGGTTCTGATCAGTGTCTGTCTGCCTGTTTTAATGTGACATAATATTTTAAGGGAATAAAGGCTTGCTTATTAATGTCAGTGGAAGTTAAGTGTTCAGCACTTGGTAGAATCAAGCCCAAAATGTAGCAGAAATCTGGGCTATTGAATGATATTCTATGGTGTGACCTAACAGCTAATTTAAAACACAATCTAGGTAATGGTAAACAGCCTAATCCCAGTGTTTTTTCTAGCCAATTATATTTGAGAAGTAGACTCTACTGCAGGGGGCTGAGAAGAATATGGTCCATAGGCCAGATACAGCCCAGTAGGAGCCTCAGCCAGACTCCCTGCCTGCCCCGCACCCACGCGCTACTTAGAAACTGCTGGGATGGCCATGTGTTTCTTTGAATGCTGCGAGCCCGGGGGGTGGGGAGGAAAGAGGAAGCTTCGCACGCTGCCCCAGCACAATTTCACAGCTCTCATTGGTCAAATAGGCAGTGCATGAAACACCTCTTTCCCCCTCTCCTAAGCTCCCAGTGTTCAGAGCAGCACATGGACCCTGCAGCTGCTTTGAGCAGCATGTGGGGGCATGTAAGGCAGGGAGCCTGGCTGAGGACCCAGCTGCCCATAACCACTCAGGTAAGGGCCCGCCTTTGGCACCCCAATCCTCTGTCCCTTTATACCTGTTCTCCACATAAGCCAAACCCCCTGCATTCCCACTACTGCATCCAGACCTCTTTCCAGACCCTGCACCCCAATTCCCTACTCCTGTCACAACCCAAATATCTGCACCCCTGCCTCAGGTCACAACCCCCTCCCAAACCCTTCCCCCCCCATCCACATCAGAATCCTCTTCTGCACCCATAGACCCTCCCAGATTTTCACCCCCATTCTCTGCACCAGATCACAACCCAAATCGCTTATATCCATTCCTGCCCCCGGTCACAATCCCCTCCTACATCCTTCTTCCAGATTAGAATCCTCTCTTGCACCCACACCCTCTTCCAGATTTTGCACTCCATTGTGCATCCCAGTCCCCTCCTTCACCCAAACTCCCTCTGAGATCCCACCCCCCCATGTGCCCCAATCCCTTACTTCAAGCTCCCTTCTGCACCCAGCCTCCATCCCAGATCCCACACCTCATCAATTTCATGGAAGAGTGCGGCTCTTGACCACTTACCAAATTCTTGGAATAGCCCCCACCCGCCATCAAAAATTATTGCCCAACCCTGCTCTACAGACCGTATCCTTAACTTACAGTTTCTGTGAATCTAAAGGTACACAGCCTTCATGGATTTTCCATCCATATTTCCCAGTGTACTTGTCCTTACACTGTCTCCAAAAAACACTGAAGGAGACGTGAAAGCATCCAGTTTGGAAATTACATCCTCAGAATAGTTTGGAGTTCTGTTAACTCTGAAAACAAATCTCAAGAGGTAGATTAGCTCTTGGTTCTCTGGCTTATTAGCCAAGATGGTTAATGACAATGAAAAGGTCATGGGAAGGGAGGCAGACATTCCAGTCTATCTCAGGCAGATGTTGAGAGGAAAATCATTTTCCAGTAATTGCATTAAGGGAGTGGGCAGGCAAATGAAGCTCCTGTTAAGACACAGAAGAAAAGAGGAATTTGAAGCAAGCAAACTCTTCGGTCCAGAAACCTCAGGCCCTTGTTTTGAATGGTCTGATTCTAACTTAAAGCTGACAGATTTTTTTAAGTAACTTGTTTGTATAACTATTTACCCTAGTTAATTCCTGCTTTACCTATGTATTAAGGATGTTCATAGGACTAGTAGGCTTAAAAATGCATTTGGAAGAACCATCATTGCTTAAACAAAATACAGGACTAACAAATCTCATCATCTAATAAACCATGAGCTCATCATCTAATAAACCATCTTGTTAGTCTTTAAAGTGCTACATAGTCCTGTATTTTGTTTCAGCTACACCAAACTAACACGGCTACATTTCTATCATGATTGCTTAAGATCTATGAAATGTCACTAGATCTATATACAAAATCTTGATTCTTTATAAGCATGATACAAAACTATGTAAAAATGGAAAAGTAACAACAAAAAACAAAACCAACCAGCATTTTAACAAGTAGTCTACTACCCCCAACTTATTCCAAATATATCTCCCTGGTGATCTTGTGGGTCTTACACAGATGGATAAGTGAATCAGTTACATTCTTCCTGTAGATCACAAAATTCTTTGTTTTCTTGATGTTAGTACTGGGCCTGATTCAAAGCCCTTGAAATCAGTGGGAATCCTTCCATTAAGTTGAGTAGGCTTTTTGGATCAAATCCATGATGCAATTTCTGCAGTGTAAAAGTATGTCTTTTAAATGTGGAACACAAGTGCTGAGCCAGAGCAATTGATAAAAATATCAACAGCTTAAGAATAAAATACAAAAATTACTGGTTTCTGATATGGAGATGCCAATAGTCTTATTTGTGGAAAATGCAGTGTGGGAGATTTAACAGAAGCGGTGTTTGACATCAGCAATTCACTTGAAAAAGGGCAGAATGTGCCCTCTTTCAACTAATCGACTAGTAACTAAGCAACTAGTCGACTATCCAATAAGCTTTTGCTTATCAGATAGTCATTGGAGAGTCGACACACTAGTCGCTTCTCCCGCCTTGTTGCCTCTATCATAGATGCAGCAAGGAGGGGATGCTGGAGGAAGCCAGTTTAAAGCCCATTTCTTCCAACTCCATTGGAGGAGGCAGGGGCACAGCAGCAGCCAACTTTGAAATGTACAAGAGTCCCCACTGGGGCTATTGTGCTTTTCAGAGCTGGCACACTAGGTGGAGCCCGGGGCCAGTGGGGAGTCTCTCCTGACCCCAGGCTCCATGGGGCGCTTCCACTTTGAAATACACAAGACCCACACCCACCCCGCTGGGACTCTTGTACATTTCAAAGGCAGAATGTGGAAGTTCTTATCAACCAGTCGAATAGTCAATGGAAATCCCATCGACTATTTGATTAGTTAATTAATCGAAATTTAACATCCCTACTTTCAACTAACGCTTAACCTGAGCATGAGCATAGGGCCCATTAACTGATAGCTGCCTAATTAGGAGCACAGCAATAACAGAATTCCAGGCATCATCACTGATGGGGCTTGCTGGCTCAATATACTTTAAAGCATAGTTGCAAGGGTCTGTATTTTCTTGAAGTAAGAAGTTGAGTATTTATTCAGCCATCATAAAAGGGATCTTGCTAGAACTCGTACTATGTTCTGAATGTGTGACCTTGATGTTTTCTCTTCAAATTGCAGACAGCAGAAGATAGCAGAAAGGGAAAAGAGAGCAGCAGAACAACAAAGGAAGAAAATGGAGAAAGAGGCACAAAGGCTAATGAAAAAAGAGCAGAATAAAATTGGTGTAAAACTGTCCTAACACAAGCAGTTCTAAGATGACTCAACCGGCAGGAAGGAGAATCCCCATCTTATGACATAAAGCATCATTTGTATTGATTCCAGTATTTTTAGAACTCAACTCACTGCTTGATTTTAATGCATTCTTCAGGCCATCTTGGAAGCCAGAAATCTCCCATAAAGTATCTTGAACTACTAGTAACCGGATCTTAAAAAATAAAACACCAACCCTACAAATCATACTTTGATGGAACAATATTTCTTGCAATAGCCCTGTCCCAGTACCCTCCTTATACAAGAACAGTGATTGCTGCAAGACAGTCTGATAATGGGGACATAAACTCTAGCAGATGGTTCAAACTTAAAGAAAAAAAGAGTGTAAATAATTCAGTGGTGGGAAAGCTACTGTATTATCTATTATGCTTACCTGGACTGTGTAATTAAATAATTTTAAAGAATTCTTTGTTTTTGTGCTTAATTTCAGAAAATGCACCTTTGTTCTTCTACTCTTAATTGCCTTATTTATAAATGTTGGGAATGTTTAAAAATTCATTCTCCTGTCTCTCTGTGTGGGGAGGGGGAGAAGAGAGTGAAGAAAGAATAATGTAATACCTCTGTTTCTCTGGCGCTGATGATCATGTTTCCTTTTTTATAACCGCAACGAGCAGGTTTGTTGTGGTTGGGGACCAGAAGGGATGGAAACAACGTGGATTTTATTTTTTGCTGATACCATTTTGTTTAAAAAAAAAAAAATGGTCCTGCAGCATCTTAGAGACTAACAAAAATGTAGATGGTATCATTTTTGAGCTTTCGTGGGCACAATCCACTTCTTCAGATGAATGGAGCAAGGGGTCCAGAAGTACAAATAAATAGCAGAAAAAGAGGGGATAAAGAGAGAGGGGGGGGAACAATCTTGTCAGTTAACGTCCGTGCTAAATGAGGCCAATAGAATGGGCTGCAAGTGCCTGATCCTAATGACTTCAAAAGTTGTGTGTCGAATGTAGCGGCTATTCCATTTGTGACTTTGTTCAAACCTTGGTTAAAGGGGTCAGATTTGCAAATGAAGGCAAATTCTGCAGCTTTGCTTTCCAGCTGGTTTTTTAAATTGCTTTGTAATAGTATAGTCACTTTTAGATCCATTGAGTGCCTGGGCATGTTAATATGTTCCCCAACAGGTTTCTGTGTTACCATTTCAAATATCTGATTTGTGTCAATTAATCCTTTGTCGCAGAGACTGTCCAGTTTGGACAATATACAGAGGGGCATTGCTGGCACTTGATGGCATAGATCACATTAATGGATGTGCAGTTGTATGTGGTTAGGTCCTGTGATGTCACTTGTGTAGATGTGTGGACAGAGTTGGCACCGGAATTTATTGCAGGGCTGAGTTCCTGGGTGAGTGTGTTTGAGATGTGCTGTGTGGTTGTTGGAAAGCATTTGTATCAAGTTAGGGGGTTGTCTGTAGGTGCAGATTGGCCTGTTCCCAAGGTCTGTGAGTGAGGGGTCATTTTCCAGGATAGGTTGTAGATTGTTAATGATGCACCAGAGGGGTTTAAGCTGGGGGCTGTAGGTGATGACTAGTGGTGTTCTGTTGTTTTGTTTGTTAGTCCTATCTTGAAGCTGATGCCTGGGTACTCGTCTGTCAATCTGTTTAACTTCCTCAGGGGTGGGAGTGATATTTAAGTTTCAAGAATGCCTGAGAGATTCTGTAGGTCTTTGGGATTGGAGAAAATCTGGTTGTATCTTAGAGCCTAACTGTAAACAATTGATTGGGAAATGCAGCTTGGATGGAAGCTAGAGACATGTAGGTAAGTATAACGGTTGGTAGGCTTCCGGTATAAGGAGGTGGAAATTTGGCCATCATTTAATTGTACTGTAGTGTCAAGGAAGTGGATCTATTGTGTGGACTGATCCAGGTTAAGTTTAATGATGGGGTGGAAGTTGTTGAAATCCCTGTGAAATTCTTAAGTCTCCTTCTCATGGGTCCATAGGATGATGTCATCAGTGTAGCATAAGTAGAGTAAAGGCACTAGTGGGCAAGAGCTGAGGAAATGTTGTTCAAGGTCATCCATAAAGATGTTGGCATATTGTGGAGCCATGCAAGTGCCCATAGCTGTGCTGCTGACTTGAAGGTATAAATTGTCCCCAAATTGGAAATAGTTGTAGGTGAGGACAAAGTCACAGAGCTCAGTCACCAGGTGTGCATGGCATCATCAGGGAGCGTTCCTGGCAGCTAGTAATCCATCATTGTGTGCCATATTGGTGTAAAGAGCTTCTATATCCATGGTGGCCAGAATGGTGTGTTCAGGGAGATTACTGATGCTCTGTAGTTCCCTCAGGAAGTCAGCGGAGTCTTGAAGATAGCTAGGTGTACTGGTAGCATAGAGTCTGAGGAGAGAGTCAACATAACTGGATAATCCTGCTGTAAGTGTGCCAATGCCTGAGATGATGGGACGTCCAGGATTTCCAGGTTTGTGGATCTTGGGTAGCAGGCAGAAAACACCTGGTCAAAGATTTTGGGTGGGTGGAGTTGTAAAGTTTTATTCTTGAGTTGTAGCAGAGTTTCATAAGCAGTTGTTTTAAGGTGGTGTGTGGTTTGTTTGTTCTGGCATTCTTTAGTGGGATCAGAGGAGAGAGGTCTGTACAATCTGTTGGTCGTGAGTTGTCTGGCAGCCTCCTATTCATAATCGGTTCTGTTCATGATGACAACAGCCCCCCCCCCTTTGTCATCCTCTTTGTTTATAATGTTAGAATTGTTTTTGAGGCTGTATATAGCATTGTGTTCTGCATGGTTGAGGTTATATGCCATATGGTTGATGAGTGCTGACTATCAGCCCATAGAAGTCAAGACTCTTGTTACGGCCATTGGAAGGGGGGGTTCATATAAAGGCCTTCCTCTTGTGGAGCTGGCGGGGAACTTGAGGGTCAGGGTCTTGTTCAGAGGTTTGTTGGAAATAACTGTTGCCACCTCTGCCTAAAGGAATATCTGGAAGCACATATGTTGTTTTTTCAGTTAGACTAACATGGCTACCCCTCTGAGACCATTTCCAAGAGTGCAATGCACTCTGATTGTAGGCAGAGATGTCTCCAGTGGATGAGGTTGGCACAGTTGCATTTTGATTTGTCTGACTTGTATACTTCTCTCACTTTAGATTTGATGTCTCATGCTATTATGAGAGCAAATTTATTATGTAATACAATTCAGAGAGAATAATTAGTTCCTTAATCACATTTCTGTTTTGGCGGGTACTTCAGACCATTCTGACTTTATCTGGTTATTAAATTCCTGACTTTCCTCATATGATCTCTGGGGGTATGTCTACACTACCACCCTAGTTCGAACTAGGGTGGTAATGTAGTCAATCGAAGTTGCAAATGAAGCCTGGGATTTAAATATCCCAGGCTTCATTTGCAACTTCGATTGACTACATTACCACCCTAGTTCGAACTAGGGTGGTAATGTAGTCAATCGAAGTTGCAAATGAAGCCTGGGATTTAAATATCCCAGGCTTCATTTGCAACTTCGATTGACTACATTACCACCCTAGTTCGAACTAGGGTGGTAATGTAGTCAATCGAAGTTGCAAATGAAGCCTGGGATTTAAATATCCCAGGCTTCATTTGCAACTTCGATTGACTACATTACCACCCTAGTTCGAACTAGGGTGGTAATGTAGTCAATCGAAGTTGCAAATGAAGCCTGGGATTTAAATATCCCAGGCTTCATTTGCAACTTCGATTGACTACATTACCACCCTAGTTCGAACTAGGGTGGTAATGTAGTCAATCGAAGTTGCAAATGAAGCCTGGGATTTAAATATCCCAGGCTTCATTTGCAACTTCGATTGACTACATTACCACCCTAGTTCGAACTAGGGTGGTAATGTAGTCAATCGAAGTTGCAAATGAAGCCTGGGATTTAAATATCCCAGGCTTCATTTGCAACTTCGATTGACTACATTACCACCCTAGTTCGAACTAGGGTGGTAATGTAGTCAATCGAAGTTGCAAATGAAGCCTGGGATTTAAATATCCCAGGCTTCATTTGCAACTTCGATTGACTACATTACCACCCTAGTTCGAACTAGGGTGGTAATGTAGTCAATCGAAGTTGCAAATGAAGCCTGGGATTTAAATATCCCAGGCTTCATTTGCAACTTCGATTGACTACATTACCACCCTAGTTCGAACTAGGGTGGTAGAGTAGACATACCCTAGGATATTAACCCTGTTGTCCTAAGCAGTTTCCAACATGGTTAACTTTATTCAGTCTTCCTAACCATTTCCTCAATAAATTTGTTGTGTGGAGAAGTTTTCTCCTCCTGAAAACTTTAATTCTTGCAACACAATGACCATCTTCCAGCCCACACATGACTACATTTCAGTGGTAGGTGAATGTAAATGTCACATACATTCTGGACTACACTTAGGAGACTTCTGAAAAGGATTTGTATATAGGGTAAGTATCTAGAACATTTAAGACCATAAGAACGGCCATACTGGGTTACACCAAAGATCCAGCTAGCCCAATATTCTGTCTGCCAACAGCAGCCAATACCAGATGCCCCAGAGGGAGGGAACGCAACAGATAATCATGATGTGATCCCCCTCCTGTCATGCATTTCCAGACAAACAGAGGCTAAGGACACCATTCCTACCTATCCTGGTTAATAGCTATTGATGGACTTAACCTCCATGAATCTATCTAGCTCTTTTTGTACCCTTTTTTGTACTGTTTGTACCGTGCAAGGAGTTCCACAGGCTGACTGTGCATTAAGTGAAGAAAAACTTCCTTTTGTTTGTTTTACACCTGCTGCCTATTGATTTCATTTGGTGACCTCTTTCTTATATTGTGGCAATAAGTAAATAACTTTTCCTTATTTACTCTTTCCACACCAGTCATGATTTTATAGATGTCTATTCCCACTTCGTCTCCTCTTTCCTAAACTGAAAATTCCAAGTCTTTTTAATCTCTCTTCATATGGGATCCATTCCAAACCCCTAATCATTTTTGTTGCCCTTTTCTGAACCTTTTCCAATGCCAATATACCTTTTTTGAGATGAGGTGACCACATCTGTACACAGTATTCAAGATGTGGGTATACCATAGTTTTATATAGTGGCAATAGGATATTTTCTTATTCTCAATCCCTTTTTTAATGATTCCTAACTTCTATTTGCTTTTTTGACTGCCGCTGCACACTAAGTGGATGTTTGCAGAGAACTATCCACAATCACTCTGCAATCTCTCTTTAGTAGTTTTAGCTAAGTTAGTCCCCATCATATTGTATGTATAGTTGGGATTATTTTTTCCAGTGTGCATTACTTTACATTTATCAACATTAAATTTCATTTGCCATTTTGTTGCCCAGCCACTTAGTTTGGTGAGATCTTTTTTTGAAGCTCTTCAGTTTGCTTTGGTCTTAACTATCTTGAGCAGTTTGGTATCGTCTGCCAA